GGGTTGCTCTGACTTAGAACTGACTTGTTGGCCAACAACTAACAACAAATCTGAGTATAAAAAATTTGAGAACAGATAATCAACTAAATAATCTCTTTCCTAACCAGGTAAATGATTGTAACCAATGAAATGAATAATACTCTTTATAAAGTCCAACACAAAGCTCTGGTTTCTCTGAAGCAGATATTCATGGTTTCTTAAATGGTCAACCTTTCTAGATTGCCATATCACTCTGTCATTTTTAATATAAATGATCTCTCCTCTCAGTACTCCCTTCCTATCTTTGGATTCTTTAATTTGCTGTGATGAATACTCAAGGAATGGCTTGCGTGATTGTGGAAGCTTGCCCAAAATCCATGGAGGTTGGTCCAAAATCATTTGGTCAAGTGTCAGACTGCTGGAGGCTTTTACAAATTCATGCTTGCTTTGTTAACGAATCCAAGTCATTAGGTTGGGTAATAGGCTGCTGGCCTACAAGGCTATAGAATTTGGTGAATCAAGTCAGATTATAGACTACTGGGTCAAGAGCCAGAGGTCAGATGATGAGATAGATGCAGGATCCAAGTTTGGGAGTTCACACACACTTCCCTGTACTTCAGACCAGCTAGCTCCTTCATTCTTTATAGTTTGAGGTTTTATGTTTTCGGTCTTTAATTCATGCTTTTGCATTTGGTGTGAGTTATGGGTCTTGTTTCATTCTTTTGCAAATAGATATCCAGTTTTGCTAGCACCATTTGTTGAAGAGACTGTCTCTTCCCCATTTAAAGTGTTTTGGCCGTTTGTCAAAGATGAGTTAACTGTATATGGATGTATTTCCTTTTGGGTTTTCAATTCTGTTCTATTGATCTATAAATCGTTAGTAGTAACAGTACCAGATTGTTTTGGCCACTGTGAATGTATAGTAAATTTTGAGCTCAGGGAGTGAGGCTTCCATCTCTCTTCTTCTTAAGCAATGTTTTGCATATCTGAGGTTTCTTTCTTTTCCATATAAAGTTTGTGATCAGTTTTTCATCTCTATAAAGAATGTTATTGGAATATGGATTGGGATTGCATTATTTCTGTAGATTGCTATCAGAAAGATGTTTATTTGTGCTTTATTGACTATGCAGAGACTTTTTAAGGTTTTTATTGTGAATTGAGTGATCGCTTACATGGGAGAACATTGGTTTTACACTTAACGCTTCATTGTAATAATTACAGTCTCCTCTGTGGTTCATCATTCAACAGTATTTGCTTCTATTCCTCCTGTTTTTAAAATTTTTCTTTTGGGTTGCACAGAAAAACACCCGGGAATAAGTAATTATTTAAACAACCAAAGGGCAAATTCGGCAAGCCTGTCTCCTGGCCGCCAGCACACAGCCTTTCTCTTTCCATAAATCTAGAGTTCTCAGCTGCTCTATCTCTCCATGTAATCATATATGCCTCCATCTCTGGTGTTGCTGTTTCTCTAGGTAGGGTCCCACATTCTGCTTGTGCGCTTCTCCCTTAATGGTTCTAGGGTCCTCTTTAGAACAGGCCATTTTTGTGTTGAAAATGATTTCTGGAATTCATTGACATAGAACAGTCACTTTGGAGTTGTTCTTTTGCCAATTTTGGACAAATAGACTTAAGCCAGGTAAAGATCTGGGTGGACTATGTAAGGACTTTTGACTGTGTGGATCATAACAAGCTATGGACAACATTGTGAAGTGTAAGTATTCCAGAACACTTAATTGTACTCTTGAGGACCCTATATATAAACTAAGAGGCAGTCATTTGAACAGAACAAGGGATACGGAATATTTTAAAATCAGAAAAAATTTTCACCATCACTGCATTATATTCATTCACTGTACTTAATTCAGTCGGTATGCTGAGCAAATAAACTGAAAGGCTGGATTATACGAAGAAGAACATGCTTCATCATTCAGCAATATTTGCTTCTGTTCACTCTGTTTTTTTGTTTTGGATTGAACAGAAAAACATCTCTACATTAGGATTAGCAACCTGTGATATGCAGATGATACAACCTTATTTGCTGGAGTTGGACAGGACTTAACATACTTACTGATGAAGATCAATCTTCAGTATGGATTACACCTCAATGTAAAGAAAACAAAAATTCTCACAAATGGATCATTAATTACATCATGATAAATGAGGAGGAAAAGAGTTTTCAAAGACTTCATTTTGCTTGGACCCACAATCACTAGTCACGGAAGCAGCACTCAAGTAATCAAATGATATATATTCCATTTGGTAAATCAGCTGCCCAAGACCTCTTTGAAATGTTCAAGAGCAAAGTTACCAGTTTGAGGACTAAGATGTGCTTGATCCAAGTCATGATATTTTGAGTGGCATCATATATGCATGTGAAAGTTGGACAGTGAATAAGGAAGACAGTAGAAGAATTGATGTATTTGAGTTATGGTGTTGGAGAAGAATATTGAAAGCATCATGGACAAGTATATTTATGAAGCAGTACAGCCAGAATGCTCCTTAGAAACCAGGATGGTGAGACTTTGTCTCTCATGTTGTCTCTCATATTAGGTCATATTATCAGGAGGAACCTATTCCTGAACAAGGACATTATGCTCTGTGAAGTAAAGCATCAGCGAAGGAGAATACCCTCAACAATCTGGCTTTACATAATGGCAGCAGCAATGGGCTTAGTGTAAAAAGAATTGTAAGGATGACAAAGAACTGGGTACTGTTTAGTTGTTTTCAGGGTCACTGTGAGTTGAAACTGATGAGATGGCACCTAACAACAACAACAACAACAATCTGTAGTATGTCTTTGCATAGCCAATAAAACACAGGTAAACATCTTTGTAGTATTTTATGCTTCTAGTCTTCTCAGCTCTGCCAAGAAATTTGGAAGACAACTATCTGGCCGACTGATTGGAAGACATCCATATTTGTACCCATTTCAAAGACAGGTGACCCAACAGAATGCGGAAATCATTGGACAATGTCTTTGACATCTCAAGCGAGTAAAGTTTTGCTAAAGGTAATACAGAAACAGCTACAGTCATACATTGACAGAGAACTTCCATAGGTTCAAGCTGGATTCAGAAGAGGCCGTGGAATGAGAGCTATCATTGCTGATGTCTGGTGGATCTTGGCTGAAAACAGAGAATATCGGAAAGATGTTTACCTATGCTTTATTGACTACGCAAAGGCTTTCAATTGTGTGGATCATGACAAGCTATGGACAACATTGAGAAGTATGAGTATTCCAGAACACCTAATTGTACTTCTGAGAAATCTGTACCTGGACCAAGAAGCAGTTGTTCTAACAGAACATGGGAACACTGAATGTTTTAAAATTGGGAAAGGTGTGAGACAAGATTGTGTTCTTTCACCATATTTATTCAACCTGTATGCTGAGCAAATAATACGAGAAGCTGTGTTCTATGAAGAAAAACGGCGTCAGGATTGAAGGAAGACTCATTAACAACCTGCGATATGCCAATGATACAACCTTGCTTGATGAAAATGAAGAGGACTTGAAACATTTACTTATGAAGATCAAAGAGCACAGCCTTCGATATGGATTGCATCTCAATGTCAAGAAAACAAAAATCCTCACCACTGGACCAATAAACAACATTCTTATCAATGGAGAAAAGATTGAAGTTGTCAAGGACTTCATTCTTCTTGGATCAACTGTCAACACTCACGGAAGCAGCAGTTAAGAGATCAGATGACATATTGCATTGGGCAAATGTGCTGCACAGGAACTTTTTAAAGTATTGAAGAGCAGAAATGTCAGCTTGAGGACTAAGGTGCACCTGACCCAAGCCATGGTATTTTCAATAACCTCATAGGGATGCGAAATCTGGACAGTGAATAAGGAAGATCGTAGAAGAATTGATGCCTTTGAATTGTGTTGTTGGAGGAGAATACTGAAAGTGCCATGGATTGCCAAAAGAACCAATAGATCTGTTTTGGAAGAAGTGCAGCCAAGTGCTCCTTGGAGGCCAAGATCACTAAGCTTCGTCTTTCGTACTTTGGACATATTGTCTGGAGGGAACAGTCACTGGAGAAGGATGTCATGCTGGGTAAGGTGGAGGGTCAGAGAAAAAGAGGTAGTTCCCCAACGAGATAGATTGGCCAGGTGGCATCATTGATGGACTCAAGTGTGGCAGCGGTGGTGAGGTTGGCCCAGGATCAGACATTGTTTCGTTCTGCTGTGCATGGGGTCGCTATGAGTCAGTTCCGACTCGATGGCACCTGACAACAACAACAACAAGCATGTTTCTAGTCAAGTTCTAAGTGATACCAGCAAGGATAGCCCTTGAACCAATAAATAGCCATATCGTCTCAGCTAGGTTGCTCTGAGACCTACTGGAAAAGCTGATGATATCCTTGGAACATGGTTCTGCCTCAAACTTGGAGGCAGAGGTTAACAGTTCTCTAAATGCGAGGCAGTTTTAAAACGTATGAACACACATTAGGCAAACAGCCTGATAGGCCATGTGATTTATGTGTTTCTGGTTTTAAATACCAATCAAATGTATGAGTAGAACTGACAGAGAAAAAAGAAACTTTATCCCTTTGTATATCTTGCTACAGCGTCCAGGTGTGGTCCTGTAGGATAAACACTGGACTGTAAGATTTTTTGAATCATAAGGTTGGCAGTTCAAACTCATGTAAACCCTATACATGGTCACTATGAGTTGGAGTCGACTTGATGGTACTTATTAACAACAGCATATCTTGGTGTATTGATATATTTGATGTACTCAGTGACAGTCCATAAAACAGTGGTTTACTCATAAATAAAAGAAAAAGTGGCAATAGGCTAAATGCTGTTTCAAGAAATTGATATTTTAGTTACACTCATTTGTGTGTGTGTTTGGCAGCAACCGTTGTAAACTTTACTAATATTTCCTTAAATGACTCTTGACAATTTTAAATTTGCTTAATTGTAAAACCAAATTTTGTTACTTTGTAGATCTTTTTGATTGCTGAAATCTAAAATACATTGTAAAAAAATATTTAATATTTCTTTGCAGTTAGCATCTGGAATTTATAATTTTGCCTGCTCTCTGTGGAATCACCATACAGACACATTCCTGCAACAAGTTTCATGTGGAAATGAAGCTGCTGTTCAAAGTTCACTAGAACGAACTTTACTGTCATTGAAAGGTACTATTAATATATGTCTATATTAATATATGATACATCTACTTCAGAAAAAATTTCTCAGAACAGTCTCCAAACAGTCCTCTGCATGTATTTACTGTTCCAAATGTATTGGGAGAACAAAAGATTAATTTCTCCTTCAGAGACAAAAACTTACTGTATTGTTATTTTTCTTATGTGCAAATATAGACAGTCCCCAGTTTATTTCTCTTATATAAATACAGATAGTCCCTGGTTCATTTCTTCTGTACTAATACAGGTAGTCCCCAGTTTATTTCTTTTGTGCAAATACCCGGTTTATATTCGCAAATGTCTTGATTTCTGAAAAACACTTACTTGCCCTTTAAACACACCTGCGAACTAATTGTATAGACTCTGTCATGGCTGATGAAGCAAAATAGGGACAGACCTGAACTTTTACAACGTGGGTGATTCCTTGTGGTGCTGGAATGGGAAAAATTGCTAATTGATCCCTGGAATGAGAGACTTGGAAGAGGCATAGTGAGCCTTTTTAAGAGCCTGATGTATGCAGGACTGTAAAGAGCCCACACATTTATAATGGTGTGGTTGGATGCCATTTTTGAGTAGTTTGCCTCTTTAGATTCTGCTTGTTTGTTAATGTAAATTTACTTTCACTTTGAAATGATTGAATCAACTTAAAAATTTTTTTAAATCAAAATCACCTTCAATTGCTGCACATATAGCAGTTAGTGAAATGATTTTGAACCTTTTCTTAAAGTATGCTCATATACTTTGTTTCATCTCCATTGCAGTCTTCTCATTGTAATAGCACTCTATCCTGCTTCCTCCTTGTGTTTTTTGTTTCTATTCCTCCTTTTCCTCCCAACCTTCTGAATTTTGTCCATAGGTAAATATTTCCCTTTGGACTTAGAATGATTAATCAATCAGTCATATACTTACCACTAGTGTTGTTATTCCCCCTATATACATAGTTACCGAGGCCTTTAATATATACCTATTAAATGCTTCTAATGTTTTTGCTTCTACTTTTCATTCTTTTTTTTTTTTTCAAGGTTTCTATTGTGGATTGTGTGAAAGTTTACAGGGCAGACAGATCATCAGTTTTACATTAAACAAATCATATACCTTGTTTCATTACAATGATTATAATCCCCTCTATGTACCATCAGTTAACAGTATTTCTCTCTATTCACTTTGGCTTTTTTAAAAAAAAACACAAAAAAATCCACTTAGGCATATATAATAATTTATACCTCTAAAGGGCACATCCTGCACATCTGCCTCCTGGCCACCAGCTCTTGGTCCCTCTCTTCCCATGATTCTAGATTCCTCAGCTGCTCCCCATCTCTGCCTCCATCTTTGGCATTGCTGCTTCTCTGGATTAGGTCCTGAATTCTGCTTGTGCTTTTCTCCCTTGATGGTCCTAGTGTCCTCTGTTTCTGGAATGTAAGATTAGCCACTTCCCTGTTTTTGTTACAAAACTTCTACCTTTACAATTGTGACAGTCGCAGTTAGTCATGATAACAATTATTCACTATTGAATCATACAAATCTTATCCCTATCTCTTTTTACCAGACCTATCCAGACAATATGAAAACTATTCAGTGAGGACTTTTTCTTCCTCCCCACACTCTTAAACTGAACTCCCTCTTAAAACCTTGTAAGCCAATCACTCTGTGCTTTTATCGCCCCTCATTGTAGGTAGCCAATGTCTAAGTTGCCTGTCCCTATCTACCCTGTGTACAGAGGTGATAGCATTGATACTTGATGTGAAGACTCCTTCCTGCCCTGTTGGTATTCAGAGTTACTACCTCCATGAGTCTAGGTCAGGTTCATCTAATTGTAGCAATTTGCCCTTGTTTCCTTTATCCAAAAAAAAAATAATAAAAAATAAAAAAAATTTTTTTTTCTTCTTCTTCTTCTAGTCTAGTTCTGATTATCAAGCCATCAAGGGTAGGTCAGATGGGTACTGTCTGCAAGTTTGGGTGTTGTGCATCTCCCCTCACTTCATATCAGCTGGATGCTTCATTCTCAACTCTAGCCCTCTGTGACTATGTCCTTGTCCATGGGATCAAGTGTCTTCAGGTCTTACCTCACTGTAAACCAACCAGCCCTTTCTCTTCTCGCTCTCATCTCCAGGTCAACGGGATTCAATGGACAGTGGTTGAACGTAGCCCATTTCTTAATTGCTGCCTTTCCCCCTCTTCCACTCATAGTAGACCAGTATGATCATCAGAAAAGTTGCATGCCAGTTCATGTGTTCCCTTTGAGTTTCAGTCTTAGAGGGGCCTGTTGTTCCAAGGTTGAGCATGCATCACTATTTACCTCTGTCCCACTTAGGCCATGCAAACCTGTCTCAGTGTTCTCCTATCTATCTTGTTCTTCTGCCTCTTCCCCCTTCTTGTATTGCTCTCCCAACACCTAAAATAAACCCTCACCCCAATCACTGAAGCCAGGTCAAGTGGGTATTATCTGCAAGTGTGGGTGTTCTTATGCATATGCCCTCTCTTCTTATCAGCTGGACACTTCACTCTTCACTCTAGTCTTCTGTGGCTCTGTCACAGACTCTGGGCCCAAGAGTCCCCAGGTCTTGCCACACTGCTGGCCAACTAGGTCTCCCCCCAGATTCACAGGAGTCTATGGAATGTTTTAGGACTTAGCTCGCAGCTTCATTGCTGTTTTTCCCTCACTTCCCCTTATCGGTGACGAACGTGGTCATCAATCAGAGTGTATGTCTGGTCAGGTATTCCCGTTGAGTCTTTGTCTTGAAGGGGGTTTGCCCTGAGGGGACCCTGACACTTGCCTTGATGTCTCCTGGGCGAGTAACTTTCTTGTTCTTATAGTAATCAGTTGGACTGTCATTATTGTTTTGTATTTTTCCTGTTGGTCTTTCTTTCAAGAAGTCTCTTCTGTTCTTCTAGTCGCTCCAGGCTGGTCTGCTTGTCCTTTCAAATGAAAATTTCCCACCTCAGAAGATTCTGGATGGGGTTCAGCATTCCACCATATGTGGAATAAGACCATATGTCATATGTAATGCAGAGGCTCCATAGGAAGCCTCCTTCACTGGGCACGTTGTAGCCCCATTTTAGGTATTCCAATCAGTTACGAATCGGGCTGCAAACCTTAAGGTCAGCGGTTTGAAACTACCAGCCGCTCCGCGGGAGAAAGATGAGGCTTTCTACTCCCGTAAAGATTTACACCCTCGGAAACCCTGTACAGGGTCGCTATGGGTCGGAACCGACTCGATGGCACTTAACAACAACAACAACAATCAGTTATAGGTAGAAGACAGACTTACAAGCTTTCTATGGTGATATTTCTGGCTATTTCTTTCTCTCCCCCTTAAATGCCAGGGAAACCAAGAATCTAAAGACATACAAGCATCTGAACTTTATTTACCCCCTTTTTGCCCATTCCAACCATGTCTCAATCCCTGTATCCCTGGGCCCTGTTGTTCCAAGGTTGCTCATGCATCATTATTTACCTCTGTCCCATTTAGCCCATATAAACCTGCCTAATTGTTTTTCCATCTGCCTTGTTCTCCATTTACCCCCCCCTTCTTGTATATTGCCCCCCTCCCTAGTATCCAAAGTATCCTGTGTTTATTCCCTACCTTGTTCTCGACCTTCCCTTCCCTTCCTTCCCCTCACCACACCCTCCACATCCCAGTAACCAACAAAGAATCCCCCCTGCTTTAGAATGGGTTCTTTTTCTTAGTCTTTTACAGTAGTAGCCCTATGAAGTATTTCTCCTTTTGTGACTGACTAATGTCACTCAACATGTGTGTGAAAAGGTTGTATTCTTCCACCATACTTATTCAATGTGTATGCTGAGCAAATAATTGGAGAAGCTGGGTTATATGCAGAAAAACGTATCAGGATTGTAGGAAGACTCATTAACAACCTGCAATATGCAGCTGTTACAACCTTGCTTGCTGAAAGTGAAGAGGACTTAAAATATTTACTTATGATGATCAAAGAGCAAAGCCTTTGGTATGGATTAAATCTCAATGTAAAGGAAACAAAAATCTTTACTACTGGACCAGTAAACAACATTCTTATCAATGGAGAAAAGATTGAAGTTGTCAAGAACTTCATTCTTCTTGGGTCAACTATCAGTACTCATGGAAGCAGCAGTTAAAAAATCAAACGACATATTGAATTAGGCAAATCTGCTGTGCAAGACCTTCTAAAGTGTTGAAGAGCAAAGATGTCAGCTTGAGGTCTAAGGTGCACCTCACCCAAGCCATGGTATTTTCAGTAACTTCATGTGGATGTGAAAGCTGGACAGTGAATAAGGAAGACTGTAGAAGAATTAAATGCTTTTGAGTTATGGTGTTGGAGGGGAATATTACAAGTGCCATGGGCTGCCAAAAGAACCAACAGATCTGTGTTGGAAGAAGTGTAACCAGAGTGCTTCTTGGATGCCAAGATGGCCAAACTTCATCTCTCATACTTTCGACATATTGTCAGGAGGGACCAGTCACTGGAGAAGCATATCATGTTTGGTAAGGTGGAGGGTCAGAGAAAAAGAAGAAGACCCCCAACGAGATGGATTGGCCAAGTGGCAGCATTGATGGACTCAAGTGTAGCAACAGTAGTGAGGTTGGCCCAGGATCGGGCAGTGTTTCGTTCTGCTGTGCATAAGGTTGCTATGAGTCTGTACCGACTC